TGGGTCTGCAGCAGAACCAGAACACCTGGTGTCTGCTGGGTCTGCAGCAGAACCAGAACACCTGGTGTCTGCTGGGTCTGCAGCAGAACCAGAACACCTGGTGTCTGCTGGGTCTGCAGCAGAACCAGAACACCTGGTGTCTGCTGGGTCTGCAGCAGAACCAGAACACCTGGTGTCTGCTGGGTCTGCAGCAGAACCAGAACACCTGGTGTCTGCTGGGTCTGCAGCAGAACCAGAACACCTGGTGTCTGCAGCAGAACCAGGACACCTGGTGTCTGCTGCAGACACCAGGTGTCCTGGTTCTGCTGCAGACACCAGGTGTCCTGGTTCTGCTGCAGAACCAGGACACCTGGTTCACCTGCAACCTTTCTGTCAGCTTTAACGTGACGCGTGCCGCCCGGGTCTGTTGTCTCCTCTTACACATTGCTCAACAACAACACGGTGGCTCAGTGGTCAGCCTCACAGTCACAAGGTTCTGTGTCTGGACCGTGGAGAGAGCAGCAGGTTCTGATGGCTTCTGCATACAGCCCGGTGGGTGGGGGTTCTGAACTGTTGGTGGGTCTGATGGGGAACTGGTTTGTGTTTGTGCAGTGGAGACCCGGGTCCGGCAGATGAGAGAGAGCCTGAACCAGCTGCTGAAGGACGTGGACAACAGCTACAACGTGGCTTTACTCAAAATGACCAAAGCTGTGAGGCAGACCCCCTGGATGGAGCTCGTCAGTAAGTCGGACAGAACCCGAGCAGAACCTTCAGGGTTCGGACCAAACATTAAAGTTCTGTTTGTCTGCAGAGTCTGAGAGACCAAAAACTCCAGAGGTGGACGACGTGAAGGTGAGCAGGTTCCTGTCAGACGTCCTCGCGTCCTGCTTCTCAGTCCAACGTCCTGGTTCTGTTTCTGTCTCAGCAGAGAGAAGAGGAGGCGGCCATTGTTCAGAGCGTCGGCGCCGATGGCCCCGCCCACGACCCCGTCCTCCAGAAGGCCACCAGGAAGCGTGAGTCCAGACAGAAACCACACAAACCAGTTTCTGACGGCCTCGTCTTCACACTCTGGGTCTGGGCTCAGGATTTATTCCAGGTCCGGTTCAGACGTGCAGAACTGAACCGGACCTGAACCGGTTCTGTTCTGACAGATCCAAGTGTAAATAATTAATTAGTTTCCTAGAAGCTAAATGTTTTCACGTCGTTGTCGTAGAAAGATGTTTTAAAAAGTCGGAACCCTGCTCAGGTTCTGTTTGGTTCTGACCCGCAGTGATGAAGAAAGCTCAACCCAAACCCACCTCAGATGATGACCACCTGCCTGGTTCTACCAAGAAGGTACCAACACTTCTTCTCATGGAGTTCGAACCAAACGTGGAGGAGGAGACCGTTCTGGTTCCTCAGAACCGTTCCTCAGAACCGTTCCTCAGAACCGTTCCTTCGCTCTTCTCTTTTTCATTCAGGGAAGAACAAGCAGAAAACCTCCGTCTACAAGGAGAACAGCCAAAGCTGCCACTAAACACAGCAGACAGTGAGTTCAGGCTCCGCCCCTCTCTGTGGTTTGACCTGTAGCCCCGCCCACTCTTGTGTTGTGGTTCTGACTGTGTGTCTGTGTGGATCCAGGTCCAGTAGGAAGCCTCTGGTCACTCCTGCCAGAACCATGCTGGACTCGTCTCTAATGATGGGCTCTACTCCCTTCATCACGCCCCGCTTCGACCCCAGGTGAGTCTCACCTGGACTGACCAGCCGGAAACAGGAAGTCACAGACAGGAAACAGGAAGTGTTTTTTTTTTTTATCTTAGCAAGATTACCTCTTATTACCAGAAGTCCCCAGAAGAAACGTTGGCGTAAGAAAAGTCAGATTGAAAGAAGCAGGTGGTGTGTGACGAGTCGTGGCGGCAGCAGCCGTTGGACTAACAGCTGACAGAAAGTTGTAGCAACAAGAAGCTGCAGCGCCCGTTCCATCCAGGAGACGATGGATAGAGGAGGGCAGCAGGCAGCATGCTTGAAAAGAAACAATTTATCAACTAAACATGATTGACACGATGTCCAACAGTCCTGGACACGGTTCAACCAAATGTGAGTGGAACTTATACAGCTGAAAATATCAGGAAAGATTTCAACATCAGTTCTTAACGATATTCAAAAGGTAAGAACAAGTGACGTGGAAGGTGGAGACTGTTGTGACAGCGCTCTTCTTACAGTGGAGGAAATGTGTCAATGTCCAGCTCCAGTTCTCTTCCAGCTCTTCTAACCGTGTCCCTCAGGGTTCTCCTGTCGCTTGGATGAAACAGGTTCTATGAACCGTGTTGAAAGTCCAGCAGACCAGATCCATGCCAGTAATTTATGATTGAGGCGATGTAACGGGAGCTGCGGTTCACGGGACAGAGAGCACAAAGCAGGAGGGAAGAAAAGCTTCCGTCCTGCACGAGAGCGAGTGAGGAGAACTGACAACCAAACACCTGCTTCTTACATCTTCTCAGTCTGATTCTAACGTTTAATTCTTGCATCAGAGCAGCGCCGGAACTATTGATGACTCCCATTTGGTACGTGATGATACTTGTGTCTCCTCCTGGGCTTTTCAGGCCTTTCACTCAATCGAACATGAATTTATTTTCAGTCTTTGAAAGAATTTGTTCTTGTAAAGTTGTTGAACCTTCTGCTCCAACAGCAGCAGTTGTGTTGGAACGACAAACGGCTCCAGCTCTGATTTGATTTAAAACGTATCGACCTTTCACCAAACTGCTTCTTGCACGTCAAGTGTCCAGCTGTGCTGCAGAGCCAGCTGCTGATGACTCCGCACTGAGGAATAGAACCCACATCCCTCTTACCTTCACTGGGACCAGTGACGCTTCCTCTGATCCTACTGGATTGTTTTCTTTGTTGGACGGTGATTTCAAATTTCTTTGAAGGCTAAATACAAATAAAAAGTGAACATTCATTTATTTGTACCGTTTTTCGGACACTTTTAAATTGTTTATAACGATATCAAATTATATCATTATCGAACAAAATGAAGAAATATAGTGTGATAAAAGTTTTGGCCACATGGTCCAGCGTAGAGCATAATTTATATTTCAGACAATCGAGTATTTTGGATTTGTACATTTTTTTTTCTAAAGCTGTTGAACTGTAAAGCACCAGAACCGGTCCGTTAGACATGAAGAACTGGACGTGATCCAGATGTGCCGGGGCTGCCCAGCTCCTCCTCGTCCATCCTGTGGACACAACTTCTGTCCACTCACCTAAAACTAATCCATTAAAAAGAATCTTTGTTGCAGGTAGACAAGTTACAGTCAGTCAGCTCATGGGATCACTTTATTCCTAAAACTTTCTGAAAAATTGAACGTGATTATTGAAAAATCAAACTGAACCAGTGGCTTCAAAGAGATCTAACCCCGAATGAAGAATGTTGTTAACTAACACAGAGGGCTGTCCCTCTGGCTGTCCACCAGTCCATCTGTCCCTCCACCCATAACTTATTATTCAGTTTTATATGAAAAATAAAACACATTATGTGAAGATTCTGTTATTATGAACACTTATGATTATCCAAA